GGTTGAGATCCAACGTCCAATCTGAACGCCGCCCGCCCTCCACGTCGAAGTCGCCCTTCGCGAACCTCGCAAACCATTTCTGGGCTATTCTTGCCAGCACTGCATCATCTCCGTATACGTCGCAAATATCACAAGCGACCATTGAGCCCTGATTGAGTGCACAAAGTAGCACTTGTCGCAAATGCGTTTTTTCGTCCATTTGACACTTCATTTCATCACGCTGAAGATACAAAGAAAACAAAAGTGCAGTAAATCGTCTAACACAGCTGTGAAGAGCAGAGAATACGCTATCGATTGGTTTATGATACATCTCCGGAAAAGTGGACTTTAGCCGGAATAATTCAATTTGAATAAAACCGCACGAACTTATGCAATAACCCAATACTAATTGCTGTTATATATATTTGTTTATCTTATATAGTCACTATGAATGAAGTGGAACTTTAGCATTATTTCTTTAATGAGTACGCCATCTTGACATGATAGAACAATCTGTATATCATCCTGGCATGACAGAACAAGTCAAGTAGTGCTAAATAAATATTTCAAAATTGCATCTCGGACACTGACTCACACCAGGTCTTATTGTTAATCTCCAAACTCAACCAAATTCCATCCGCATCATAGAAACTCAAAAGCCTTGCACGACTTGAAGTGAAGTAAAAAGGTACAGAGTAGAATAAAAGCGATCAATGTAAGTGGATAAATGTAGAACATGACGCAACAAATATATGAGCAAAACGGTTCCTAAAGTGAATGATGATTACTAACAATATTGCCGCCTCTGACTTGCTTTTTATTTGTATTCTCCTCATGCGATGTAAACGAGTAAGATTGCTTCTGTAACATCATTACACCATTTCCTTTGAAATTCTCGTCAGTTTTTGTTTGTTCGTCTTGATTCGGATCTGTCGCATACTGCGACGACGATGGCAATAGAGTTTGTACACAACTACCCACAGATGAGACGTTGTTATCGGCGAAGCTATTATGATTTTTGTTACGACCTCGCTTATCAGATGAACCATGCATCAGATCTGTCAGCGATGATATCGTGTCCTGCTTACTTCCACATAGTTGTTGGGCAGACATAGGCTGTAACTGACCCATCATATTGTTATTGCTTGTTTCCTTATCAAATGAACTATGATCGTTGGCCTGAGTTGATAAATTTGCACAGTCGAGCGGATAGTTCATATGAGCCATTGTTGAGTTGTTGTCCTCATTATTGAGATTAATATTAGAATTGTGTACATTCATACCACTGACATTATTATTAGTATTATTGGTGTTTTTGTTGGACTGAGGTAAACAATGATCATTAAATAAAGTCGAATGAGTAAAATCAAGATTTTGCATCAGTGATGAAGAAATCGATGAATCCGATCGTGAGATGTCATTTCTTTCATTGTGATTCGTTGATTGGTATTCACTGGTAATTGAGGGCATCAGTAAATTTATCATTCTATTGGGATTTGATAGATTCGCATTGACAGGCGTTTGCATAGCCATGTGCGGAGTTGTAGAGATCAAAGCGCCCGACGGCGGGAGAAGAGCTATCTTGTGCAGCTGGTGCAGTTGATGCTGAAGAATCTGAAATACGGAAAATCGCTTAAAAAATTGAATAGATGTTTTCCATTTACACGAAACCGTTAAAATTTTCTTAATTCTTGAAGGTGGATGAATTCCATATTCCTTTGCAAAACCTTGCACAAAGTACTGATTCCATTAAAATCTCAACTATGATAGAATTTCGAATGAGTGCGAATCTCTTATCACTTTTTTTTCCATGGTTCAATTTCGGTTGGTTTGTCTTTTATTCTGCGCTTTTTCACAAATTTATAATGAGATTTTTCATTTAGAATAAATGATTCATTAATCCGTTTTGAACTTGCAAAACGTCAGATCGAATTTATTCAACGAATTCAGAGATGAGAAAATCTATATTTTTAGGATAGGTGCGAACATTTTGAAAATTTTTCCAAGACTGGCAAAATTGAGAATAAAAATTCTCAGCGAGATTCACCGACCGATAGTTTGATTCGTAAATGATTAATGATATTGATATATCTTTGTTCACTTTCTCGACGATCCCTTTGCTCACGTTCTCGTTCACGCTTTATACGTTCGATCTCTTCCATCATGTTTCGTTCATTCACATTTCTCAGATCACGTTCCGCTCGCACTCGCTCTTTGTACTCTTTCAGTTTGGTTCGATGTTCACGCAATTTCATTTCTAGCTCCTGAATTTTATCGTTATACAAGCACAGGCGCCGAAATGCCATAAAAATGTTCACTCAGACTTCGTCACATGGCTAAAATTGTGGTTATTTGCAATGTCCACTGCAATTTTTCGAATTTTTCTGATCAATTACGATAGTTACTCTGCTGAATCTTTTTTTTGAAATTTAATGTATGTAACTCCACTCAAAGAAAGTATATACAATATATGGAACTAAATGAACCACAAAATATTTAAGAAAGTAGTATTTCATATGGAATATATTTCTTGTAAACGACCGAAAAAAATCGATTACTGTCGATAACGTTGACGAAAATATCATATCACAATATGGTTGATGATATCATATCACAATTGAAAGAGAGACCCTAATACGTTGATTTTTCTCATTCTCGAGTGTGGATTCATCGGACTGTGATTCGTCAAGAGTGGGATTAAACGAGCAGCTATAACGATTCGTTGGTGAAGGATCGCCACTGCCATATTCGGATGTTTGTTGAGCGCTANTTGAAAAGACGCGTCTTCGTGATCCGACCTAAACTCATTACTATACCAACTTGTTTGTCACTTCATAATGTCATCTATCTCTCTGAACTACTGCTGCGTTCAAACGAAGCAATCAGATATCACTGATAGTTTGCCCCGTATCTAACTATGAAGTACGATGCAAGAAAGTTATCTCATCTCCTTTACTGGAACCGAAGGTGCCTAATGAGCATAAATGGACGAGAATCATCCTTTCCGTACGCAAATGTTTCTGCGAGTGATTAAAAACATCATTCCCCAGTAACGACGCTTCATTAGGTTCAAGTTTAGTTTTCTTTAATGGTTGAGCTCAAATCGACTGAACCTTGCGCATGCAATAATTAAGGGTATTCCTGGACCTTGTTTAGGCTTGATTTAACTTCAGATTGATCAGAATCAAACAAATCCTAGTGGGAGATTAGGTTGATTTATACGCAGGTTCCATCCAAATTAAACTCAAGAGATATNGAGATATCAAGCTTCAGTTAAAGACTATAACTGAGCCTAGGGAATCCTTATTCTTTTTAGTAATGACATGGTTATCCCCTATACTATAAGTTCAGGGATAACCGATTATTAGCAAATGATCATTTCCAAGAAAACAAGCTCACCAAAAAAATTATCATCCCAAACTCTCACCTCATCTTTAGAATTTTGCTGTCTATATTGTAATTCAAAGGATCGATTGGCAACCCCACTTTCCCTTCGCCCACCATTCGTTGTCAATTCGTATCTTTTTCGATAATCAAACATATCACCGCCAGGACACGATCTCGGACCTCGATAAGTCTTCGGTTTTGTTATCGTGTGGTATGGTGCTGTTACTGGTATCAGTTCATCATCTTCTGTACTTTCCTCGTAAACACACACCTTATTTGCAACTCGTTGACGACGTGATTCTCGCAGTACGCATTCTCGACCCTTGATTGATTTTATTTTAAGATATTGATGACAATAACAATTACATTATTATTGAAATTAATCATGATAATGATAATAACAATAATAATAATGGCAGTTACTGCTCTTAACAATAATTCTATAGGGTTATTGCATAAGTTCGTGCGCCTTACCTAAGTTTTCTAAAACTTCGGTTTCAAACCACAAAGGCTAACCAGTCAACCGACAACGTATTCTACTTCGGTTTCCACGACTTCCTGCCATCCTTTCATCAGGTTGTCGATTCCACGACGACAGAATCCCGCTGGCTTCGAAGCCAAGAAGTC